TGTTGTAGCATGGGGTAATCCTGATCCTAAGATTATCAGATCACTCTACACTACCATGTAATACTAGTAACCTAGGTATTACATACGTCTCACCGAGAGCCTTAGTCCCCTGTAGTAGCATATATATAGTGTGTAACAAAAGCAGTTGTATATTCTTTTTCTCTCATTGAAATATACTCTACTTTTGTCTGTCCTAGCTCTTTTACAAGTCCCACCGGCGAGCCATCGGCCCGATCACATATTACATTCTTCGTATGATGCGAGGACTCTTTGCGACGAGGTTTGGTCTAAGTGGTCCAGCGCCCCATATGATCGAACCAGAGGAGAAAAAACGGCTTGACAGACAAACAGGTATCATAATTTCCTCCTCTCGTCAAAAACCCCGAAGCATCAAACTGAGTCCCTGATGTGAGATTTTCCAAAGACCTGATCATGAAGGAATTCGGGCGACTTGGGGAGTACAATTTCTGCTGGCGGACCGGTGCGCAGACCGAGGAGACCCCAATCGAACAACTCCGGTCGAAGAATACTCTCCGGTCTCGTTTGGACTCAGACCTTCTACCCTCAATCAACGAGCAATGCTCCAGACTAGCAGGACTACCACGCGACCCACCTCATGTGGGGCAAGACCCGGCCTTATATCTCAAGATCATCGCAGAGATTCAGGCCAATCTTCATCAGACTCTACCTCAAACGATTCAGACGATTAATGCACTCTTTCCCAACCCGATGCCCAAACCTGACAATGAGACAAACGACCAAGGATTCAATGAATTCAAAATCTATAGACTCTATCATCTCGATGCATCTATTAGAACAGATTTGAAAGATGGGCTCAAATCACTATTCTCAGAGTTCCATCGAATTCTCCGCGATTTCAAGGACGGGGGACACACTTCTCCATGTCTCATCGAGTTTACAGGCTGCAAGATCAACCAAACCATCGATTGGGCCATCAGCCTTTCAAAAGCTTCTGAATTAAGCTTGATCTGGACTCTTTGGAAAAATGAGATCCCCGAGTGTGATGAAGAATTCGAGGGGATGTTAATTCAGATGGGCCCGACGAGGCTCTTGGATGGAGAACACGAAGCCCTCTTGAGTCCACCAGCCGTCGAACTCGGTACCTCACTCATCCCTGTCTTCAAATTATCAAGATTGTTTTTCAACAAATTATCTCAAGAAAGAGTGACAAAGGAAGATGTAGCATCGTTTACAGAGATGTCTTCTGCTCAGTTATCTTCTTTGGATGGCTGGATTGAACAGATCTTTAGTTCGATTGCCAGCATGCATTTTTCAATCAAAAATGCTGATCAAGATGACCCTGTCAACACCAGTGCTGCTATCATAGACGAACTTGAAACACTCAAAGCGCTTTTCCGGTCTTATCAGCTTCTTATCGACAAGTATATTCTCCCCAATCTGTTTCCCAACTCTCTTGATCTCTCCTCTCGCGTTTATTTCAAAGATTGGTTGGATAGCTGGACTACTTCTTTCTCGAAAGCTATTCATAACACTATCCTTGCTGCCAACACATACAAATCTTCAACCATTTCTTCTTGATCCCCACTACTTTTTCAGCATCTTGTCTTTCTAAATAAGTAAATAAGTCGTATTTGCAGTAGTATGGTCGGCTTCCTGTTGATTTAGCAGTAACGTCTATGTGCGTACATAACCGGCTCCCTCTCTCACAGTCACAGCCCTCAACTGAGAGTCCAAGCAGAACTTTGCCAGCTAGGAGTGCGCAGTGTCCAGTCAAAACTTCAATTTTTATACAAGAAAAAGGTTCTGATCAAGTGCCAGCTCCAAGCCCAAATTATGTCCTACATACATTAATACAAGGGTGTTGATGAGTATACTTGGTGAAGCTACACATTTATTTAGGGTCTCAGTCAAGGGTCTGCCTTTTTGCACACCAAATATTTCCCCTGCACACACCAAAAAAGGTGTGCACTCCAAGGATTGTTGAAGTGCATGTACAGCAGTGGAGCACTCCAGTGTTTTCCTAGGTATTTCAAGGAGTGCAAATCCTGCTCACTCCAAATTATTTGGAGTGCACAGAGCTTCACTCCAAAGATTTGGAGTGCTTTCTTGGATCCCCAGGCTGATATCACACACAATTCATGACATTTTTCATCCATGGCACTCAACATAAAAAGAGATTATTTTGTAATTTTGGAAAGCCATGAGGGCCTGATCAACAGACAGACAGAGAATTTTTTTATTTAATTATTGGAATCCACAATGAACTGGCTATAGATAGGCAGGCCCTTCTTGTGTGATATCAGCCTAGGTGTCCAAGAAAACATTGCAAAATTTTGGAGTGAAGCTCTGCAAACTCCAAATAACTTGGAGTGGGCAGGATTTGCACTCCTACACCACAGGTTGAGTTTTGGAAATGGCAGTCCGTCGGCTTGACCCCGCGGTCAAGCACTGGTCGGGCTTAACCCCTTTTACGCAATCCCGCCGGATTTGTCTGGCCAACGTCAATTTTGGGTAGGAAAGCTGTAACTGCAACGTTGGCTTGACCTCAGGGTCAAAAAGTCCCACCGTCGGCTTGACCCCATGTCTGAAAATGAAGAAAAAAAACTTTTTTCTTTGACATTTTTTCTACACCCTTTTCATGCCAAAAAACTTGTGGCCACCTCAAGAAAAAAAAAAAAAAAAACTTGGAGAAAAAAAACTCGAGGACAAAAATCCTATATGCAATTTGAAATTTTCTATCTATTTGTATGCAAAACCAAGGCAGATTGGTATAATATGATTGGCATAGTTGGATAAGCTCTCCAATCCTCAGCATGCAACTGTGCAGTGAGCTTAAGATGCTGTGAGCCTAGGTTGGGTGTTCAAGCCCCAAGCTGATTTTTTTGTCTTGCAGCGCGCTGCTGGGCAGCCACTGTCAAAATGAAAAAATGCTGTCAAGCCGCCGCAAGCTTGCCAGGCAACCGCTGGCAAGCCGACATTGAAGGGTCAAGCCGACCGCGGTGTAGTATGCCAATTGTGTTTCAAGTATCAAATTGCATAAAGTCGCAGTCCAATATGTAGAAGGGCATATATTCTTAGGCGTATTATGAAATAATCACATTCTACGGGTCATTTAACCCATAGTCACTCACTGGAACCACTAGGCTAGCTCCACTCAGTCAAAAGTTATTTGGGATTTAAGTTTTAGTTGCATACAAAATGCTTATTGCATAATGCAAACCACAAGTTGGCCTTAGTTTGTTTACATATTCAATATTCATTGCATAGGGTAACCACAAGTTGGCCACATTGTTTGTAGGTACACAGAGAATCTTGTATAGATAGCAAAACCACAATTTGGCCGGATTTTATGCATATTTGTTATAGGTTAGGGTTAGAACCACAAGCTGGCCATTTATAAATTACAGGTTATAGGTTAGGGCTAGAACCACAAGTTGGCCATTTATAGATTATAGGTTAGGGCTAGAACCACAAGTCAGCCGGGTTGTAAAATAGACTATTTAAGGAGGGGCTTTCCCCCCCTCATTCCAATTTTTCATCATGAGATCATCTCATTACATCTCATCTGATCAGGAACCAGACAGAGAGAGCAATCAATCCATACATCAACCAGTGTGATCTTAATCAAGTGCCCCATTTAAATCATTCATACCTTGAGAAGAATATAAAAGCAAAAGTAGCAAGAATCACAAACTTTGTGCTCTCAACAAGATAAAGTGATCTTATCAAGCAGGTAAAGGAGGAGGAGAGAAACATCTTTAATAGTCACATTAGTCATCAGTAGCACAACAGACAGTCACATTCACTATCATTACACAACTCAATCATTTCAAGCACATAAATATATATAAAAGCATTCTCTTACAAGTAGTAGGGTTCAACAACTGAACCAAGCCTACTGAGGTACCCACACAGACCCTTTTCCCATTAAACATCCACTCAAATAGTCTGCTGAATCCATGTTGATCTAGGTTTGATAAGAGACTGCTACACATAGTTTTCTCTATCATCAGTTTTTGCCACAACAATAAATAAATTGTTGTGTTAACTCTTGTGTAGTACAATAGAGGGGCAGGTCTTTCAAACCAGCCGTAACAGTTGTAGTAGATCATTACATACGTGATATATCTCATCTGCTATTTCCCCCTCGCAGGACTGCCACCGTTCCCAAAGGAGTTCTCACAGCGGGGTATTACGCCCCCCGCTATGAAGCACCCCAAAATTTTGGTCGGAGCGGCATGGGTCAAGCTGACGGAACCGCTTCCGTCAAGCACTCGTCCACCAGAACCCGTGGTGTAGGAATACCTGGGGAGTAAAAACACTGGAGTGCACAACCATGTACTCAGAGTTTTGCCCCTTTTGAGTGCACTACTGTGCAATCCAAGAATCCTTGGAGTGGACACCTTTTTTTGGTGTGTGTAGCCTTGGGAAAAATCTTTGGTGTGCAAA